GTGAGGGTATCTACATAGATCTGTTGGAAATGAGGGAAGTGGAGTGTGTGTATACCTGTGGAATAATGTCCATGGTGGGAGAAAGACCCTTGTCTGTTTGATGCAAGTGTAAATGTTGCAATTGGCAAGCTTGGTTAGCGTTGAGTAGCCTTGCAGCTGCAAAGTCAATCAGTGAGGGCATCTGCATAGAGGTCTGTTGGAAATGAGGGAAGTGGAGTGTGTGTATACCTGTGGAATAATGTCCATGGTGGGAGAAAGACCCTTGTCTGTTTGATGCAAGTGTAAATGCTGCAATTGGCAAGCTTGGTTAGCGTTGTGTAGCCTTGCAGCTGCAAAGTCAATCAGTGAGGGCATCTGCATAGAGGTCTGTTGGAAATGAGGCAAGTGGAGTGTGTGTATACGTGTGGAATTATGTCCATGGTGGGAGAAAGATCCTTGTCTGTTTGATGCAAGTGTAAATGTTGCAATTGGCAAGCTTGGTTAGCGTTGAGTAGCCTTGCAGCTGCAAAGTCAATCAGTGAGGGTATCTACATAGAGGTCTGTTGGAAATGAGGGAAGTGGAGTGTGTGTATACCTGTGGAATAATGTCCATGGTGGGAGAAAGACCCTTGTCTGTTTGATGCAAGTGTAAATGTTGCAATTGGCAAGCTTGGTTAGCGTTGAGTAGCCTTGCAGCTGCAAAGTCAATCAGTGAGGGCATCTGCATAGAGGTCTGTTGGAAATGAGGGAAGTGGGGTATATGTATACCTGTGGAATAATGTCCACAGTGGGAGAAAGAACCCTTGTCTGTTTGATGCAAGTGTAAATGTTGCAATTGGCAAGCTTGGTTAGCGTTGAGTAGCCTTGCAACTGCAAAGTCAATCAGTGAGGGTATTTGCATAGAGGTCTGTTGGAAATGAGGCAAGTGAAGTGTATGTATACATGTGGAATAATGGCTAGGGTGGGAGAAAGACCCTTGTCTGTTTGATGCAAGTGTAAATGTTGCAATTGGCAAGCTTGGTTAGCATTGAGTAGCCTTGCCGCTGTAAAGTCAATCAGTGAGGGTATTTGCATAGAGGTCTGTTGGAAATGAGGCAACTTGTGGAATAATTTCCATGGTGGGAGAAAGACCCTTGTCTGTTTGATACAAGTGGAAATGTTGCAATTGGCAAGCTTAATCAGCATTGAGTAGCCTTGCTGCTGCAAAGTCAATCAGTGAGGGTATCTGCATAGAGGTCTGTTGGAAATGAGGCAAGTGGAGTGTATGTATACCTGTGGAATAATGTCCATGGTGGGAGAAAGAACCCTTGTCTGTTTGATACAAGTGTAAATGTTGCAATTGACAAGATTGGTTAGCGCTGAATAGCCTTGCAGCTCCAAAGTCAATCTGTGTTGTTGTCTGGAGGCATCCTTTGTTTGGGAGGTGTTAACTGGCACTTGATTGTTTGCTGTCTGGAATTCCCCCATTACCGAGTGGCAAGCTTCTGCAGAGGATTGCTGTAAGTTTTTCAAGGTGTATAGCCATGTTCCAGAAGCATTTCCTCCTGATGTTTCACCTGTATCTATGCCAGCCATCCTCAGAGGTTGTGAGGTCTCTGCAATGTTGGAACTCCAGTTCCATCTCCATTGTAGAAAGAATGCAGTTTGACACCACCTTAACTGCCACAGGGCTCAAATCTGTGGGATCCTTGGAGTTATAGTTTCCCAAGGTCTGCCAGGGAGTGCTGGAGCTTCACCAAACTACAACTCACAGGGTCTTCTCCAGTCTGCCTGGACTCATAGGATTCCATCACATTGCGCCATGGTGGTAGTACTAGTTGTAAGAGGGGCCCAACTGCATTCATTCTGCCCTGGAGAGGCCGCTGTGGGGCACAGAGATCTGTAGTTTGTTTGGCAAGGCCCCAGGACCTTTGGGTAGAGGAGGTTTGGAAAACTACAACTTCTAGGACTTCAGAGCCTCGAGTAGTTGGAGTGAGATAAGAGGTTGAAGTCTCCAGTGGAGATGCGCCCTAGGACGCACGACCCAGACGCCTGCTTTCTTCTCCCATATCTCTCGGTCCTTGGGCCACTCTACCCCGGGACTGTGGCGTGGGTGGCCCCCCGGACCCACCCTCCCCCGTGGGGCCAGGGAGGGGGCTCTCAGCCGCACTCACCTGCTTCTTTCTCGGGGGACGGGACCAAGCCCGCCGCCTCCTTGGAGCCGCTTCTCCCCGAGCCTTGAGGTCACAATCTCCACGCCGGTGACGCGCAGCCCGAGGAAAGAGGCCGAGGAAAAGCGTCCTGTTGCGGGATCGTTTCGCCTTATTACCAGCAGATGCAAGAGAAGCAGCCAAGGGAGGCTGTGGGCTTCTTTAATTATCAGGATTTTCTTCTCCTGTTCTCAAAGGAGGGCTTCCAAAACTGTTGGATGGATGCAGTTTGGCACCGCTTTGCCCTGCTGCCATGGCTCAAGTTGCAGCCTTAACCAGGTTTGCTCAACTGGAGACTCTTCCAACTAGAGTTGGAAGAAACTCGTAGAATCAGCCAGTCCTTCCCAACAGATGGCCATCTAGCCTCTGCTGGAAAAGCCTCCAGAGAAGGAGAGACTCCACTGGACTCTCCAGGCAACATATTCCATTGCCAAAACAGCTCTTATCCCCAGGAAGTTCTTCCTCATAGAATCATAGACTTGGACACCCTATAGGATATGCCAGGCAGGAAAAGCAACTCTGTTTAAAAGCTTCCAAGGAAGGAGCTTCTACCAGACTCTGAGGCAGAGAGTTCCGCTGCTGAACAGCTCCCACACCAAGGAAGTTCACAGAATCATAGAGTTAGAAGAGACCTCATGGGCCATCCAGTCCAACCTCATTCTGCCAAGAAGCAGGAAAATTGCATTCAAAGCACCCCTGACAGATGGCCATCCAGCCTCTGTTTAAAAGCTTCCAAGGAAGGAGCTTCTACCAGACTCTGAGGCAGAGAGTTCCGCTGCTGAACAGCTCTCACACTCAGGAAGTTCATAGAATCAGAGTTGGAAGAGATCTCATGGGCCCTCCAGTCCAACCCCATTCTGCCAAGAAGCAGGAAAATTGCATTTAAAGCACCCCCGACAGATGGCCATCCAGCCTCTGTTTAAAAGCCTCCAAGGAAGGAGTTTTTACCAGACTCCGTGGCAGAGAGTTCCACTGCTGAACAGCTCTCACAGTAAGTAAGTTCATAGAATCAGAGTTGGAAGAGACCTCATGGGCCATCCAGTCCAACCCCATTCTGCCAAGAAGCAGGAAAATTGCATTCAAAGCACCCCCGACAGATGGCCATCCAGCCTCTGCTTAAAAGCTTCCAAAGAAGGAGCCTCCACCACACTCCAGGGCAGGGAGTTCCACTGCTGAACGGCTCTCACAGTCAGGAAGTTCTTCCTCATGTTCAGATGGAATCTCCTTTCTTGTAGTTTGAAGCCATTGTTCCATTGTGTCCTAGTCTCCAGGGCAGCAGAAAACAAGCTTGCTCCCTCCTCCCTGTGACTTCCTCTCACATATTTTTATACATAGTTCTTCTTCATGTTCAGGTAGAATCTCCTTTCCTGTAATTTGAACCCATTGCTCCGAGGACTAGTTTTCAAGGGAGCAGAAAACAAGGTTCCTCCCTTTTCCTTATGGCATCATTCACATATTTATACACTAGCTTGGGTCCCTTGCTACTTCACAACTGTAATTTTGCTACTGCTATGAATCTTAATGCAAATATCTGATATATGGGATGTATTTTCATTCACTGGACCAAATTGGGCACAAATACCCGATACACCCAAATTTGAATACTAGTAGGATTGGGGGGGGGGGGGGGGGGGGGGGGGGGGGGGGGGGGGGGGGGGGGGGAGAGCACTGTGGATTTATTTTGTCATTTGGGAGTTGTTGTTGCTAGGATTTATAGTTCACCTACAGTCAAGGAGCATTCTGAACTCCACCAATGATGGAATTGAACCAAACTTGGCACACAGAACTCCCAACAGAAAATCCTGGAAGGGTTTGGTGGGCATTGACCTTGAGTTTTGGAGTTGTAGTTCACCTACATCCAGAGAGTATTGTGGACTCAAACAATGGAGGATCTGGACCAAACTTGGCACGGATACCCAATCTGCCCAAATGGGAACACAGATGGAGTTTGGGGAAAATAGACCTTGACTTTTGGGAGTTGTAGTTGCTGGGATTTATAGTTCACCTACAATCAAAGAGCATTCTGAACTCCAACAGATGGAATTGAACCAAACTTGGCACACAGAACTCCCATGACCAACAGAAAATACTGGAAGGGTTTGGTGGGCATTGACCTTGAGTTTTGAAGTTGTAGTTCACCTACATCCAGAGAGCACTGTGGACTCAAACAATGATGGATCTGGACCAAACATGGCATGGATACTCAATCTGCCCAAATGTACACACAAATGGAGTTTGGGGGAAATAGGCCTTGACATTTGAGAGTTGTTGCTGCTGGGATTTATAATTCACCTACAATCAAAGAGCATTTGGAATCCCACCCAATGAGAGAACTGGGCCAAACTTCCCACAGAGAAAATACTGTGTTTTCTGATGGTCTTTGGCGACCCCTCTGATACCCCCTCACGTCCCCCCAGATGCCCCAACCTGCAGGTTGGGAAACACCGATTTAAAGTAATGCCAAATACTGATGTGATGGAGAAGAGATATGGCCTTCTAGTTTGGAACTGTGAAGACCCATATAATGCAGATCAGTGCAGTTAAATTGCCTTATATGGGCTCTTATTGATGAGACAATTCACTTTCAAAGTGCATTATATGGCAGTGCAGAACCAGCTTATAAAAAAGGGCTGATTCAGTCCCCAAACTGGAGAAGAGTTCCTCCCTGTGGACCCCATGGATCTGCTTCTTTTTCCTACAGATAAAGGATTCCTTTCTATCAATATGGGGATAAACACAATCCGATCCATTACAGTGTCTGTGTGTTTTCCCCTCAAAACCCTGTTTGGAAAACCCAGCTGTAAAAAATAACCACACACATACGAAGCGTCATTTGAATCATTTCCCTCAGTCAAATCTCTAATCCAGCAACTTGAATAACTTTGGAAGACAAAACAGAATAAAGACAAGCGACACCCAGCAAAATGGCTTCTGTTTCCCAGCAGTAGGGCAGGCAGGTGAATGAGCTAAAGGGACAAACAGATGGAGATATGCATATTTATATATGTGCGTATATATATATAAAAGAGTGTGGAATGGGAAAGCGGGATCACCGGGAGACGCTGTTGTGCTTGCAACGGATCTCAGGTCAGGCAGAACTGGTCACTCCACTAGATATGCGGCTATATATAGTGAGAGATAGGTATCTATATATAGAGATAGATTTATATATATGGAGAGAAAGAGGGAATATTGAGAGGTACAATCTGGGTTCAGGCGCCAAACCGTCATCCTCCATGGCAGCCTCTTTCCAAAACAAAACAGTGAAAATAATACTCGTAATAAAATGGCTCCATCCCATGGATAGGTTCAGGTCCATTTGTAGCTTGGTCCTTCCTTCCTTCCTTCCTTCCTTCCTTCCTTCCTTCCTTCCTTCCTTCCTTCCTTCCTTCCTTCCTTCCTTTCACAGAGACACAAAATCAATGGCTTGCAGGAGAGGCAATGAAAGGAGGAGCAACAGCAACCAGGAGGTGTTTTGGATCAAGACGCTGATGCCGGCACATTTCTCCAGCCGATCTACGAAACAAACAAACATGTAAACAAGCAAACAAACAGGCGAGAGAAGGATATAATAGAGAAAAAACCCTGAGCTGGGATTGGAGCAAGGTCTACTTTCAGGAATGTCCATCCTTTGTCTATCTGTCTGTCTGTCTGTCTATCTCTTCTCTATCCATCCATCCATCCATCCAAACAGTGACCTAGCCTGGCTGGCATCCAATAGGTACCGCTATCTGTCCGTCCGTCCGTCCGTCCATCCATCCATCCATCCATCCATCCATCCATCCATCCATCCATCTATCTATCTATCTATCTATCCAAACAGTGACCTAGCCTGGCTGGCATCCAATAGGTACCGCTATCTGTCCGTCCGTCCGTCCGTCCGTCCATCCATCCATCCATCCATCCATCCATCCATCCATCCATCTATCTATCCATCCAAACAGTGACCTAGCCTGGCTGGCATCCAATAGGTACCGCTATCTGTCTGTCCGTCCGTCTGTCCGTCCGTCTGTCCATCCATCCAACCATCCATCCATCCATCCATCCATCCATCCATCCATCCATCCATCCATCCATCCATCCATCCTTCCTTCCTTCCATCCATCCATCCATCCATCCATCCATCCATCCATCCATCCATCCATCTATCTATCTATCTATCTATCTATTTATCCATCCAAACAGTGACCTAGCCTGGCTGGCATCCAATAGGTACCGCTATCTATCTGTCCGTCCGTCCGTCCGTCCGTCCGTCCATCCATCCATCCATCCATCTATCTATCTATCTATCTATCTATCTATCTATCTATCTATCTATCTATCCAAACAGTGACCTAGCCTGGCTAGGCATCCAATAGGTACCGCTATCTGTCTGTCTTTCTGTCTGTCTGTCTATCCATCCAAACACCCATTCTATCTATCTATCTGTCTYTCTATCTATCTATCTATCTATCTATCTATCTATCTATCTATCTATCTATCCATTCCARCCCCTTGACCTAGCCTGGCTAGGCATTCAATAGGTACCGCTATCTGTCTGTCTGTCTGTCTGTCTGTCTGTCTATCTGATTATATTTTAATGAGACCAATCTACATCACACAGGATATAAGAAATGAAGTGGAAAAAAGGAGAACATAAATAAGAGGAGAATATTAGTACAAGTTGAGCATCATAGAATCATCGACTAGAATAATAGAATCATAGAGTTGGAAGAGACCTCATGGGCCATCCAGTCCAACCCCATTCTGCCAAGAAGCAGGAAAATTGCATTCAAAGCACCCCCAACAGATGGCCATCCAGCCTCTGCTTCAAAGCCTCCAAAGAAGGAGCCTCCACCACACTCCGGGACAGAGAGTTCCACTGCTGAACAGCTCTCTCACAGAAAGATCTTCCTCATGTTCAAGTGGAACCTCCTTTCCTGTAGTTTGAAGTCATTGTTTCGTGTCCTAGTCTCCAGGGCAGCAGAAATCAAGCGTCCCTTCTCTGCAATTCCCAAATACAGAAAACTCAGAAATCTGGAATGATTCCCATGGGCTCCAGAATAAGTGATGCCTTTGCTTTCTGAGGATTCAAGGTACACAGACTTTGCTTCAAGTATATCAGGGGTTCTCAACCTTCCTAATAGCACAACCCCTTAATACACTTCCTCATGTTGTGGTGACCCCCAACCATCAAATTAATTTCATTGCTACTTCATAACTGTAATTTTGCTACTGTTGTGAATCATAATGTAAATATCTGATATGTAGGATGCATTTCCATTCACTGGACCAAACTTGGCACAAATACCCAATATGCCCAAATTTGAATACTGGTGGGGTTGGGGAGGATTGATTTTGTCATTTGGGAGTTGTAGTTGCTGGGATTTATAGTTCACATACAATCAAAGAGCATTCTGAACTCCACCAATGATGGAATTGAACCAAACTTGGCACACAGATCTCCCATAACCAACAGAAAATACTGGAAAGTTTCCGTGAGCATTGACATTGAGTTTTGGAGTTGTTGTTCACCTACATCCAGAGAGCACTGTGGAATCAAACAATAATAGATCTGGACCAAACTTGGGACAAATAGTCAATATGCCCAAATATGGACACTGGTGGGGTTTGGGGAAAATAGACCTTAACATTTGGGAGTTGTAGTTGCTGGAATGTATAGTTCATCTACAATCAAAAAGGGCCCCACCAACAATAGAATTTGGCCAAACTTCCCACACAGATCTGCCATGACCAACAGAAAATACTGTGTTTTCTGAGGGTCTTTGGCAACCCCTCTGATACCCCCTCATGACCCCCTGGGGGTCCCGACCCCCAGGTTGAGAAACATTGATGTGGACAATTATGAAACATATTGCACAACGTTAACCTTCAGGTGATTAGTCCCAAGATTACGTACCAATGGGTAGATGCAGGTAATCCAGAAACCTTCTGGAACCAAGCATTTTGGATAAGGAATACTCAACACACACATATAAACTGGAATTAAATCTAAGCAAGTAAATTGTGTAGGGGACCCTTGCAATGTATTTAGCAGGAAATGTAATAACTTTCAGCTATCCCTATTTGGCAGAAGCAATCCCAACTAATCTTCTGTCATCCCATTTTTCAGCTACTTCTAAAATGTCGCAGTTGGACTATGATTCTGAAGACCAGAGTTCGAATACATGCTCTGCTATGGAAACATCTTGTGTGACTTCAGGCAAGTCACATATTCCAGGAACATGAGGTGCAAGCTCTTTGGGAGTACATCTCAAACCTTAGCAGAGCATGGAATAATTATTTTTTGGGATGATACAATTTGAGAGAATCTGGGGTTTGTACACAGAGAGAGGGATGTTCTCTCATCCTCGGAGGAAGGCAGATCTGAGCAAACCTTGCCAAGAAAGTCCTGTGGTGGTCACCCAAAGTCAAAATCACCTTGAAGGCACCCAACAACAACAGATGATCCCCTCACCTTTGATCACAGTGATGTTCTGTGCCTGGGGCCCATAGTCATTGGTGATCTTCAGCTTGCAAATATAGACTCCTTCGTCGGCGGTGGTGAAGCCATGGAGGTAGAGGCAGACCAGGTTATCAGAGGCAGTGATGTTGGCGCGGCTCTTGTAGATGCTGCTGGCCGTGTTCCAGTTGCCAGCCACAACTGCCCCTTCTGTGTTGTCCTTGCTCAGGCGGATCTCATAAGTCAAGGCATTCTTGGTCTTCCGCTCGTAGCGGCAGTCGATGCGGAGGCTCTGCTTGTCCAAGCAAGCTGTCAACGTTTTGATCCTCTGGCAGCAGGCAAATTCCAGCACTGTGGGGAGCAAAGAGGTTCTCAGGGTGCGTCAACACAAGTGGAATCAAGGCAGTCTGGCATCATTTTGATTGCCACGACTCAAAATGCCCATTTTGATTGCCACGGGACTGTGGCGCAGCTGGCTGGGAGTCAGCTGCATTAAGATCACTACTGACCAAAAGGTCATGAGTTCAAAGCCAGCCTTGGTCAGAGTGAGCTTCCGACCAATTTGTGTAGCTTCCTGTTGACCGTTGCAGCCTGAAAGACAGTTGCATCTGTCAAGTAGGAAATTTAGGTACCGCTTGTGCAGGGAGGCTAATTTACGACGCCATAAAAATCTCCAGCAAGCATGCAAAGAATAAGGAAGTACCTCATCAGTGTCACAAATGGGTGGTGAAGCAACAGCTCCCCTGGTGGCCAGAATACCCTCATGAAAAAGCTGGCATGTTAAATATTTATTTATTTATTTATTTCGGTTGCTTCTACCCCACCCTTCTCACCCCGGGGGGGGGACGGGACGGGGGACGGGACGGGACTCAGGGCGGCTTACAAAAGCGAGGCACAATTCGATGCTCGCATCACATAATAGCAAAAGACAATAACATCAGTTAACGAAGACAGCAATTCTAGTAATAACAACAATTAACAGAGACAATAATTATTATAGGCAAAAACAACCATAAAATCAATAAAAGCAATAAAACCAATACAAACCTCATTGACGGTCAGCGTTTCACAGTCTCATAGTTTAAATTCTAATTCCACAGTTGTCAGTCCTTTCAGTCCTATCCATCTGGTTTCCATATCTAATTGTCCCACAACCACATCTTTACCTTCCTCCTGAAGGCGAGGAGGGATGTTGATGCTCTGATTTCCCCCGGGAGTGAGTTCKACAGGTGGGGGGCCACCACTGAGAAGGCCCTGCTCCTCGTCCCCACTAGCCTCACTTGTGATAGCAGTGGGATCGAGAGCAGGGCCTCCTCAGATGATCTCAAATTCCAGGGTGGGACGTAGAATAGCCTCTGTGTGTCTATCTATATGTGTTGTGTGTCTATGGCATTGAATGTTTGCCATGTATATGTACATTGTAATCCACCCTGAGTCCCATGCAGGGTGAGAAGGGTGGGATATAAATACTGTAAATAAATAAATAAATAAATAAGATGGAATCCTAAGAGCCGTAGTTTGGGGAATCACCAGCACTCTCTTGCAGAGAAGGTTAAAGATTTTGGCTGGGTCCAGACTGTCCTATAAATGCAGTTTTCAAGGTGCATTATATGGTCAGCATAGARCAGGGTCCTCAAACATTTTAAGCAGAGGGCCAGTTCARGATCCTTCAAACAGTTGTGGGGCTGGARTATAGTCTGAAATTCCTGCACACAGTGCACATYTCATATTTGTAGTGCAGCCCCCTCCCCCCAAATCTATATCAATAAAAATGTAAGGTTKGTTTGTGGGATTAACATAACTCAAAAACCACAGAGCGGATTGACACGAAATTTGGACACAAGACACCTATTGGGCCAACGAGTGACCATCACTCATATCCCCTCCCAAAAAACAGTGGAAAGGACTTAAAAAAKCCCCAAAAGTTAAATGATGAAACGCTAATGTTTTTTGTCGTGTCAGGAGCYACTTGAGAAACTGCAAGTCGCTTCTGGTGTGAGAGAATAGGCTGTCTGCAAGGACATTGCCCAGGGGATGCCCGGATGTTTTGATGTTTTATCATCCTTGTGGGAAGCTTCTATCATGTCCCCACATAAGGAGCTGGAGCTGACAGAGGGAGCTCATCCAATCTCTCACTGGATTTGAACCTGTGACCTGTCGGTCTTCAGTCCTGCCAGCACAGGGGTTTAACCCACTGCGCCACCGGGGCTTCAAAAGCTAAATGACAAATCAGAAAAAAAGGAAGGAATAGAGAGGGAATGAAGAGGGAGGGAAGGAAAGGAAGAAAGGAAGGAAGGAAGGAAGAAGAGGGAAAGAAAGAAGGAAAAAGAGAAGGATGCATGGAAGCAAAGAGCGAAGGAAGGAAGGAATGAGGTAGAGAAAGAAGAAAGGAGAAGGAGGAAAAGAAAAAGTGGAAGAGGAAGGAAAGAGGTAGAGAAGGAAGGAAGGAAGGAGAGAAGGAAAGAAGGAAAAGTATGCCCTCAGCTTACTTCAAATGCTGCAAACTGAGATTGGAATAAAAAAAGCAATTGGAACTCATCAGGCAGAAAGGAGATTGGGGACAAAACATGTACCTACTGTGTAGAATTCACATGGCTTGACACCACGGATATTGCTCAATGCTATAGACCTCTGGGAGTTGCAGTTTGACAAGGTCTTTGACCTTCTCTGGAACCCCCAGTAGTGCAGTGGGTTAAAGTGCTGACTTGCTGAACTTGCTGACCGAAAAGTTGCAGGTTCGAATCCGTGGAGTGGTGTGAGCTCCCACTGTTAGCCCTAGCTTCTGCCAACCTGGCAATTCGACAACATGCAAATGTGAGTAGATCAATAGGTACCACTCTGGCAGGAAGGTAACAGCACTCCATGCAGTCATGCTGGCCACATGTCCCTGGAGGTGTCTATGGACAACGCTGGCTCTTCTGCTTAGAAATGGAGATGAGCACCAACCCACAGAGTTGGACACGGCTGGACTTAATGTCAGGGCAAAACCTTAACTTTAACCTTCTCTGACAAGTAGTGTTGGTGCCAGGATTCTATAGCATTGAGTAGTGACAGTTCAAGTGATGTGAAACTGCATTAATTCTAGAGTCTTGCCCTTCCCTGTAGACTTAGGCAAATCAAACTGCTGTCTCCTCTCCTAGCTTGTCTGTGATTCCTCATTAATTATTCTGGCCCTCTTAACCAGAACTTTTTCTCCTGTGAAATATATGGTGTTTGACTGAGAGTACAAAATTCAACCTGGCCTCCCTTACCGGGTTGTTGTGAGTCTAAAGGATGGGGGAAGAACCCAATACATGACCTTATTGGAGCAAAGGCAGATCATAAAGACAAACAAAAAACAGTAATTTCCTTGTATTGTCGAAGGCTTTCATGGCCATGGTCTCAAGGCATTCTCTCCTGACGTTTCGCCTGCATCTATGGCAAGCATCATCGGAGGTAGTGAGGTCTGTTGGAACTAGGAAAAAGGGTTTATATATCTGTGGAATGACCAGGGTGAGACAAAGGAGTCTTGTCTGCTGGAGCTAGGTGTGAATGTTTCAACTGACTACCTTGATTAGCATATAATGGCTTGACAGTGCCTAGAGCAAACTTTTGTTGAGAGGTGATTTGCCCAAACATGAATCAAGGAACATGAAAGGCACTACAGATTACTTCAACCAGAGAAATCAACCATAGCAGAGCACCTGATGAACCAACTTGGACACAGCATGTTATTTGAGAACACAGAAATGCTGGACCACTCTCACAACCACCATGTCAGACTACACAGAGAAGCCATTGAAATCCAAAAGTGTGTGGACAATTTCAACAGAAAGGAGGAAACCATGAAAATGAACAAAATCTGGCTACCAGTATTAAAAAACTCTAAAATTACAGCAGCAAAACAACAGAGAGGAAACAATCAGGCACATCTAATCACCTCTCAACAAAAGATTGCCCCAGGCACTGCCAGGCCATCAAATGCTAATCAAGGTGGTCAGTTGAAACATTCACACCTAGCTCCAGCAGACAAGAGTCCATTGTCCCACCCTATATATACAAACCTTTTTTTCCTAGTTCCAACAGACCTCACTACCTCTGAGGATGCTTGCCATAGATGCAGGCGAAATGTCAGGAGAGAATGCCTCTAGAACATGGCCATATAGCCCGAAAAAAACCTACAACCCAGTAATTTCCTTCCCTACAAAATTTGATGTAGTTTTCTGGTTTCATCCAGTTCACTTTCCATACCACTAGATGGAAGCATGAGGCTACCCAACAACATTGCATGTATTACTGTAGTTGACTTATTTTTGTTTATCCTTCTGCTTTCCCAATATGGGGACTCCAGGCATTGCTTTACCTGTCAGAAGGACTGCGATACCAATGGTGGATTTCATTTTCCCCTTTGAGTCTGTCTTCTGGGACACGGTTTACGTCTGGCAGGAATCTGGGGAGAGAAGAAACCTCTGGTTAATAGAGGAGGAGACTGGGGCGAAAAAGGACCAGCGGATCCAAATCAGGCCATTGCAGATGGGCTCAAATGTTTGCAGAGAGAAGCAGACATGCAAGAATGCATGGCATATTTGTTAAAAAGGGCAAAGGCACATATGATTTTCCATGTGTTAAATAAGATCAGCATGCTTTAATAGGTCCATATAGGTCAGGCATGGGCAAACCTAGGCTCTCCAAGTGTTTTGGACTTCAACTCCCACAATTCCTGCCCTCAGGCCCTTTCCTTTTGCCCCTCAGCTGCTTAAGCACTACATGCAATTGCTGCCTGAGGCAATGGTTTCACTCTTATTTATTATTACTTATTTACTACATGTATATTTATTTATTTCAAATATTTGTACCCCGCCCTTCTCTACCCCCGAAGGGGGACTCAGCATGGCTTACAGCTGGCAACAATTCGATGCTTCCCATACACACACAGATAAAACAGCAATTACAAAATAAAGAAAACATTAATATAAATTAAAAACCATTTAAAATAGTGCAAATTCAATTAGTTCCCATGGAGCAAAGCATAGCGGGTGGAACAGACTCCTCAGGTCTGCCACACTTTGAGAACTATTAGATTGAGTCTTTTATAGACATATTCTGCTGATGTCATTCCAAAGTTGTAAATTAGTGATAGATGTCTTCCATTCTGGTTCCATCACAGTTTCCTGGTCAGATGTTGATCTTCTTGATTGGTGTTGTTCTTATGTTGACTTCCTTCTTAACATTGTAAACATTTCTGTTATCACTGTCCCAGTTCTCATCAGAGTTTACTTTTCAGTTCTTATTAGCAACTTTGAATTACAGTCCAGCAAGCAGGCAGTTAGTCATTGCAGGCCTTAATATTTTACTGGTGTCTCCAAAATTATTAACTCCATCCATACATCCTTCCATTCATTCCCACACATATATTAAATCCACATTTATCAAATCTACACGTTAAATTTTTGTGACACCTGTGAGAGAGAAGCCTCGTGCCCCCTGCCCCCCGCTTTCAAACAAAAACACATAACCTATCCCTCTCACCCCAAAAGGGACTCAGGGTGGCACATAGCAAAGGCACAATTTGATGTTTGAATACATACAAAAATGTACTTTAAAATCACATAATTTAAAAACATCACTTATAATAATTAAATACACACAGTCTAAAAGCATATTCCAGCAGCCATTCCAATTATCATTGTTCATTATTACATGGATCATTATTGCAAGGAGCCCCCGGTGCGCAGTGGGTTAAACCCCTGTGCTGGCAGGACTGACAGGTCGCAGGTTCGAATCCGGGGAGAGGCGGATGAGCTCCCTCTATCAGCTTCAGCTCCTCATGTGGGGACATGAGAGAAGCCTCCCACAAGGATGATAAAAACATCAAATCATCCGGGCATCTCTTGGGCAACATCCTTGCAGATGGCCAATTCTCTCACACCAGAAGCAACTTGCAGTTTCTCAAGTCGCTCCTGACACGACCAAAAATTGCATGGATAAATCATTGTTGCATTGGGAATCATTCTACAAACACTTGGTCCCACAACCAGGATTTAACTTTTTTTTCCTGAAGGTCAGGAGGGAGCTGATCTAATTTCCCTGGGGTTGGAGTTCCATAACCAAGGGGCCACCACAGAGAAGCCCTGTCTCTCATCCCCACCAGTTGCACCTGTGAAGGGGGTGGGATCGAGAGCTGGGCCTCCCTGGATGATTTTAACCTCTGAAATGGTTCATAGGGGGAGATACGTTTGGACAGGTAAGATGGGCCGGAACCATTTAGGGCTTTATAAGCTAAAGGCAACACTTTCAATTGTACTTGGTAGCAGACTGGCAGCCCAGTGGAGCAGGCACAATAGGGGGGTTGTATGCTCCCTGTACCCTGCTCCGGTGATCGACCTAGCTGCCACCTGTTGGACTACTTGAAGCTTCTAAACAGTCTTCAAAGGCAACCCCACATAGAGTGTGTTGCAGTAGTCTATTAAGGATGTAACAAGACCGGGATGCTTTAATATGTGTCCATATAGGTCCTTCTCCTTGAATACTTGGATCACTGTGGCCAAGTCTTGCTTCCCAAGGTATGGGCACAACTGGCGCACAAGTTCTCATCGTGCAAAAAGCTCCCCTGACCACTACCAAGACCCGAGGTTCCAGGCTCAGCAATGAATCGAGGAGAATTCCCGATCCAACACAGGCTGTAACCCTATACCCTGTTCATTCTTCCCAATGGCAGAGCCGGTCCTGAGGAGTGGATATAGATCCTGGCTCTGCAAGGTGAATTTAGCATTGGATGACTCATCCTGCCGCAGTGAGGGAATGAGGCCAAGAACACAGCTGAGAAGGAGGACAGTGAGGCAGATGCTGTCGGAGGCGTTGGCTTTATTTATTTCTTTTTGAGGGCTGAAAAAAGGAACATGGAATATATCAGAGCCTTTTCAAGACAGGACCAAGGTGGTTGCGAAGGGAGAGCAAGCCTAAAAAACAGACACCATTTCCCAGCTTGACTATCTTTTGCATCTTTACACAGAACTTAGTCTTGCTAGGGTCAATGGGACTTGTATCCTGTTGCAGAAAGCCACCTCAGTGTCACATTTTCAGGGCAGAAATGGGGAAAGAGACTTTTGGGAGGCTACAGCTCTCAGAATTCACTACTAGTTTAGCCATCAGAGATCAAAAACAATTTCCATCCTCTATGAAACTCTTCCAAAACTGAGAGATCCATGAATTCAGAGCAATTGCAAGTAGGTTTGCAGTTATTCTCATTTTTCACCCAGATGCTAAAGGTCTTAAATGGGTTCAGCAGCTTGGACAGCTCATTGAAAGCTCGCTAAAACCTACAATGGAGCCATGACCCAGTAATCCACTCACCAGTTCCAATCTCAAAGAATTCACACCGGGTTTCAACCCAAACTTGACAGGAGCTCTCTAAGGTGCCAAATCCTACTGCCAAACTGTTTCAGGACCTTGGATAACTCATTGGAAGCTGACTAAAACCTGCATGGATTCACCATAGAATCATAGAATCAAAGAGTTGGAAGAGACCTCATGGGCCATCCAGTCCAACCCCCTGCCAAGAAGCATGAATATTGCATTCAAATCACCCCTGACAGATGGCCATCCAGCCTCCCAGGGACCATATCCACCTCTGGAAAGCCCTTTCTTTGCCTTTCTGCTCTGGCCTCCTCTTATTTTGTATTCTTATTCTCCTCTTATTCCCAAATTTTTTTTGACCAGCAACCATTTTGACCAGGGACCACTCTCAGGGACCAACATTAGTACCAAAAGGGTTACAAATCAGCTTTTGGTCAGCTTTAGATTTGGTTTGGTTATTTGGGGTGCTGATTCAGAACATTGCATTGGATAGACCACATCAGCTCTAGTTTCTGATACAGAACATATGTTATCCAGTAGTTGCCATCTGCTTGCCCACAGAAACCATATTTTATACTCTAAAGCTGATGTGGTAGTAGTAATCTTTCATGGGTAGTCAGCCTCTCCCCTCTTGACATCCCCGTTGCGTCATCACTATAAGAAGTTTTCGTGAGATCAGTCGCTCTTGTTGCTGTGTGGTTTTGAGGCAATGGTGTAGTAATTGTGAGGCCATGGACCATATTTTTGTTCTTGGGGACCACTGGTGGTCCACAGGTTGGGAGCCACTGTTGTAAAATAATGGATCTCATTATTGCAAGACTCAATGTTTTAACAAAAAAAGTTTGAAATACAACTCCCAGAATCTTTCAGTTTTCGTGTTGGATAGGGACTTCTGGGAGCTGCAGTCCCAATTAATAATAATACTAATACTAATAATAATAATACTTTATTTATACCGCACCACCATCTCCCCAAGGGCACTCAGGACGGCTTACATGAGGCCACATCCATCAATACAGAAAACACAATATAATTCAAAAACACAACAGAAAATCATAAAATAAAATAACATAAAATACAAAGCCAGTGTAAACAGGCAACACAACAATATAAAATCAAAACATTAAAACACTAAAAATGATCACAGTTAGAAAAGAAGAGACTTTTCTAACAAGCCCAGTGACATACAATGGTCTTGTAAAATGGCGTGCCTTCTAGAAAATGATAAAATCAAGGTTTGCTTTTGGATTTTTTAAAAATACTTTCAAGCTGGGGATGGCTGAATCCATGAATGCGGAAACCTTGGATCCAGATGCTGTTGTCTTGTTTAAGAGAGGAGAGTGAGGAATGATTATATGATAATAATAATAATACAAAAATGATCATCCTTTCTCTCTTGCCCCCACCTTTAACGTAGCCAAACCTTATTCCTATGGTAATACCAGAAAACAGGTCTAATCTAAGGTACCACTTTCAGCTCTACTAGACTACAATACCCACAATGCAGGGAAAGTTGCCTTAAGGTTTACAAACTCTTCTCATATCAGGAAGTTCTCAGTGAGCAAAACTAAAATGTGTATGTGAAACTGGTTTGGGTTAACATTCAAACTTTAAACCTGAATTGTTTCAATATTAATGATGTTCAATGCTGTGTTAATATTTGCATATTTGTACATTTTAAGTTGTATTGTAATGCTTTTAGTTGTGAGCCACTTTGAGTTTTCGTATGGAGAAAACAGTGGGATATTATTATTATTATTATTATTATTATTATTATTATTATTCCCACTTTGGAAGCATTGTCCAAGGTGCTGAACCTATTCTATCAGTAGGAAAAGGTCCCCACATCTTGGAGAGCATTATTATTATTATTATTATTATTATTATTATTATTATTATTATTATTATTATTGTATTGTTGAAGGCTTTCATGGCCGGAATCACTGGGTTGTTGTAGGTTTTTCCGGGTTATATGGCCATGTTCTAGAGGTATTTTCTCCTGACATTTTGCCTGCATCTATGGCAAGCATCCTCAAAGGTAGTGATGTCTGTTGGAAGTAGGAAAATGGGTTTATACAGTTGAAACATTCACAC